GGAACACAATGGCTGGCCGGCCTGGCCCAGCCTGGCCTCATGTGGGAGGTAAGCCGGAGGCTCCTAGACCAGAAAGCTGAACAAAATCAGGAGCTAGACGAGGCTAGCACATGCAGGAGAGAGCGCACCCAGGGGCAGGTCCCCTTCACTGACTGACCTTCACAGAGCGGAAGGTTTCAAGGGAAAGGCACATTATCAGAGGATCCACAGTTTCATTGATGTCTAAAAACAATTTAAAGCCTTGGGCTGATCAGCCCCCAAAGCCAACCTCTGCAGCCCCTCAAAGCTCTGCTCTCCCAGATAATCACAAGCCCCGGGCTGCAGGGAGCCCGCGGGCGCTGGAGAAGGCCAGGCCTGGAGGACCAGGGCTCAGGTGGTAGGAGCTGGTGCCGTCCCGCAGGCCAGGAGGCCAACGCCCTGAATCTCCCAATTCTTCCCTTCCCTTTGAGAGATGCCAGCCACTGGGGCGCCGACGCCCCACCCATGGGCCTTGGTCACGGCTCCCGCTGTAGGACCAGCCACCCTACAGCACTGCTGAAACCTAAAGCGGCCTCAGGTTCCCGCCCTCTGGGCGCTCCCCCAAGGCCACACTCCCACCTGGCCTGCTCCCTGCCTCTCCTGGGCCTCCCTGGGCCGTGCGCTTGAGTGACACTCCGTGCCAAACCAGATCTCCTCTGTCTCATCTCCGTATTCTCCACAGGACATAGTCAGTGACAGAGGAGACGCTTCATGAAATTCGTTTTTATAAAAAAGTGTAACGGTTCAGTTCGCAGTTGCCTCTTGCTGAGTAAACGCCTGGCTCTGGCAGGCGGGCGGCCACACACTTCCCCTGGCCTTTCTCTCCCCCTGTGATCTCTCTTCCTTCCCTGTGTGTCTGGGTCACTTTTCCTATGGTCCATTTTTGTACTGAGTTTGGGTTTAACCTTTATAATTTGTCCACTGTGTCACAAGGCACCTCCCAAGGGGCACGTCCCGCCCTGGGAAGTCTGTGCTCCGATTTTAGAACCTTCTGCGGACGAGCCCGTGGCGGGTTCCAGCCGTGAGCCGCGGAGCAGGCCTGGAGATCTGCCGTGACTCAGGACCAGTGAGGCCTCTGGAGGAGGAGCAGGTACCTGGGAGTTGCTCTCTCAGTCCTACTTACCTGGACGAGTTTCTGGCCCAACAAGGTGACTCTGGTCAAGGGTAAACGCTATTCTGTATCTAGAATGTAATGAGAACAGTGCACTTTGTTGGCTTTCTCTCTGCCCCGTCAGCAACAAGACAGAATGATGGCACCGAGCAAAACACCCCGGGGACGGAAAGGCTGAGCTGTGTGAGGGAGACACGGCGGAGGTGCAGTATGGGCTTGAGGGCAGAACTTTCCTAAAAGCCGTGGACGAAACCTGCCCTCCTGTTCGCAGTGACTTTCAGAATATATTTAATAAATTTCAAACACCAGTGACCTTGAAAATAAACAGGAAGATCATGTCTACAAATGTCAACAATCTTCTTAGAACTCTGTTGTTTGCTGCATCAAGATGTTCTTCACCTCCACTGAGGACGCGGCGGGACCGCAGCCCACAGTCCCATTACCTTACACGGTGACGCCTCAAAACTGGGATGTGGCATCAAGCAGGCATCTTCAATCTAAAGATGGAGATGCCAGACCACAGACGGGAGCCGGCGCAGAACCAGAAGATGTGACTCCCGATCGTCAATGACAGTTCCTGCCCCTTGGGTCCTCCTTCCTCTGGATCAGGGTGGACAGACCAGAGAACACACTTCTTCGATTCCAACAGGCTTCCGATAGCCAGACACACGATCCCTGCTGAAGCAAGACCTCCTGGCAGAGCCAAGCCACGGATGCGAGGCAGAGAATCTCCCAACATGCAGCTCTTGATGGCTCGAGAGACCAAGAAGAGACCAGAAGCAGCACTGAGGCCTTGGCTCTGGGCCAGGTCACGGCCGGATGCTCTGAGGCCTTCTCCCATGTGGTGTGTGCTCAGAGTCACGGGCCCGATTCCGCCGCGATCTCAGTCAGATAACCTCTTAGCTCCAAACTCGCATCACCATGAAAACAAAACGCTGAAGTCTGCTTGAGATCATTTTTGCTCTGATTAAAATTTTTATTGAAATCTCTCAAATGTTACCAAGAAATAATTTTTGCAAAAGGGGGGGGGGGGGGATAGCTAACAAGCAAATTCAGCATGGGAGCTCCCTCTGCTGGTCTGCAGTAGGCTGGTATGTTACAAACACATTCCCAGAGACAAATCTAATTTGCTGGAGAAGTGGACAAAAGACAGGTGTGTTGGGCTTTGCCTCAGGAGAGAAACACTAGAAGAAAAAAAAAATCCAAGTCTCAAAACAGAGCACAACATTGCTAAGAAAAGCAAAATAATATAAAAGCTTCTCCAAAGACATACAGTAAGATCTCCAAACAGAACTGGAATCATCCACTAAGGGAACGCTTCATTTTTGTCTTCCCCACTGCTCTACCTCCAGTTAATAAGAACTTCTCTCGGGCCCTTTGGGTGAAGGTTAAGTTCTGATTCCCTTGTCTTTGCCTCCACGTCTCTTCTTACCGGCTTCTCATCTACTTAGAGAAGAAAGATCCAGGGAGTCAGTGGAGTGAGGCCTTTCCAAAATTCCAACAGAGAGTAAGTCTTTGGTGAGCCAGCACTGAGGCGTGGAAAGAGCAAGGCCTGGGAGTCAGGTGACCTGGCTCCGGTCATGGCAGAGCCACTCGCGACTTTCAAGAACTCTCCATCTTCTCCAGTCTCTCTCCTCAACTGTAAACTGGGCCAGACCTGCTGGATCGGTAAAGCCTCTACCAGTTCATTCTAGGATTCTCATCTTGGACAAAGACATTTAAATAACTGTATCTGTTCATGAGCCTTTAGGACACAGAACCCAAGCTTGCACTGAGAAGGACTCCAAACAAGTTTTGGGGTTGAGCACAAGGATCTCACTGATTTCAGATGAAAGTTCCACCAACTTGAGGACCGACGTGGCGGAGTCAAGTGGATTCCAGGTTGGGAAAGTCTCAGGATCAAGGAAGAGCTCCCAGGGGAGGGTGCCGCCACGGGCAGCACATCCCACTAGGTCAAATGGTTGAGTCCATCTAATCTTGGCACTACCTCTAACCTCTCTCACGATGGGCATGGGCTTTCTAATCTCTTAAATCTCTTCAGTTCCTTCTCCCACACACCCCCAGATATACTCTGGAATACATCCATTACATGAAGCCTACGCAAGTTACCCGGATGTTAGTAAGGCCCCAGAGCCATCATTCCCAGTCTTTTCTGGCCACTGTCCATTCTGGCTTTCCCAGGGCAATGGTGTAAGGCTCTGCAGCCGATTAACAAAGCCAAGGATACTCAGAGTACTCTGCACACATGGCACTTTCCATGGCATTAGGAACATTCGCCTCAACTGTCAGTTTATCTACACTTAGGCAATCTAGGAAGAGCAGTGAAGACATATCCACCGACGGTGGGGGCAGACCCACAATCAGAGGAGGCCTGAGTCACTCCCCATCATCTACAAAGTTCTCCCCAAGGCCACTGCAAACATTTAGACGACTCAGCAGAAGATAGCCACAGGTTGTGTTTTATCCCCTCTCCCTCCGCTGCCCTGTGAGGAGACCGAGTGCTGATGAGGACTGAGGGGGAAGCAGCAAGGGGAAGGGAAGGGAAAGCGGAAAGCACAGCTGATTTGGACCCTGGGCCTTCCGGCTCTGAATCCCAGGGCTGCCAGCTGCTCTCACCACTACCATCTACCTTTCCCTCGCTCCTGGTACAGCTTTCTACCTCCTTCTGCCAACACCGAGGGTCACCACTTCGGGGGCCCAGGCACCAAGGTGTTGTCTTTGTAGTTTGCCCGCATGGTGCCTGGGAGGCTGGGCCATGCGCATGTGCACACAGCCCGGAGAGCTTGGCCCAGACGGCCGGACATCTATGCAGCCAGCACCACGCCTGACCTTGCAGCTGCGAGGACAGAAGCTAGGGGCTGTCTGTCCATGCTTTAGACGACACCATGGGCTCCATGCAACACGGAAGAGTTCTCGGTCAGAAAGAGAAGTTCTCTGGGAAGCTGTGTATTTCGTCCACCCTTGTAAATAAACACTAAGCGAAAAAAACACCCCACCTGTCTGTCCAGGCCAACAGTGTTTTCGAAACCAGGTGCCCCTGCTTCTAGAGGAGTTACACGTGCGCTAAAACGAATGCCATCTACGTGTTCTCTTAGGCGCTGCCAGCCGTCACCCCGAATCCTCACCTTACTTCATTACTACTGCCTGTGCTAAGAGCAAAAGTGACAGCCACATTTGTTTACAAGGGGAGAGGGACGGTTGGTACGTACGTAGTAATCTTTGTGAAGAAATGAGGACGTTTATTTAACTAAGAAGGGAAGCGGGTCCAAAGAGAGACCTTCGCCTTGACCTGGAATTATGTTCTCCACACTACACTGTACCTCCTTTTCTAAAGGTGGAAAAAAGGAACCCTTCACCCTTCCTGTAACATCTGCAAGCTAGCACACAGTCCTCCTCGAAGCTTCCACCTTTCCCCTCTGGCCGCTAGCTCTCCTAGGACACGGGAGCAGAGATCTCTGCACACACACGTACACACGGACAGACTCCGGCAAGCAACTCGCCTCCCTCGGCAACCCCTTCTGCACAACCAGGCAGGCGCAACTACGTTCTGGGGATGCCTTCAGGCTGGCTGGGGGCTTGGGGGTGGGGGTGGTACCTGCGCCCCGTCTCTCGTGTGTGGTATGAGGGTGAGATCATTAGGGAAGAGAGAGGTGTCATTTGGGGCAAACATCAGGCAGTGGGTGATATCATTGCTGGCAGACGGTCCTCGAGTCCCGGAGGAGTGTCAGCTTGATTTAGAGGGGAATCATTAATCTCCGGAAGGGGGTCTGTTAGCCGGACAGGTGTTAGTTGTACGGTGTGCTCCGGGGAACCGGGCTGGAGAGGACCGGGGGTGGAGTGAGTGGCGTCGTGGCCGATGGGCATCAATTACCTGGGCATGCAGTGAAGCGGGGTAGGTGAAAGCAGGAGGAGGTAGAGCAGGCGCTAACTCCGCTGGGTACAGAGGGTACGGGGCCCACACTTCAGGGCTACTGGGGTAAAGTGCAGGCACTGTGAGCTCATCTGCAAGAAAAGAATAAGGGAAGAGTTAGTGGTCACCAAACAGCGGCTTTCAAATCAGAAACAAAACACCGAACGACCCCGAGCCCCCCGCAGAGCCAGAAGTCAAATTACTCTCATGCTTTCAATAACCTGTGGCTTCCGGTCCCCGAACGCCAAGCAAGGGACCGGGGAATACAAAGTGGAAAAAAAAGCGGCAGCATCTGCTGCCTGTAGGGCCTGCTGGGATCTCGGGCCTGGGCTCTGCCGGGACGCTCTGATGTCCTTCCAACCGTAGCTGGGGGACCACGGGAACAGTGGGGATTTCCTGCCCCAAACCGCACACGTGGCCCACAGAGGGACAGAAGAAGAAAGAAAACCGGCAGGACACATCCCGTGAAAACCCACTGCAGAACCTTCGGGAGGACATGGCCGGGCCACGGCAGGACCAGAGCCACGGCAGGACCTCTCTGTTTATCAGTGTCATCCCTACCGACAAACACACCATGGCCCCCGAGCACGGGGTGGCCACTGTGCCCGCGGGGCACTGAAGATGTCAAAAATGCTGAGAATAGAAGTGAAACAGCCTGGAGTATCCTGATTAAAGTTAAACTCCACGCAGATGCCAACTAGAACATTCGCAGTTGCTGCTTACACGGACTTATTTTCTAGGGGGAAGAAAGCGAGTTGTGTTGCCAACGGACTGGTCCGAATCCGATTCCATTCAGGTCAAGCTGCAGTTTCCCAGACTGAAGGGCGAGCGCCCGGGGCTGCGAATGGATCAGGAAGGGATCCATTAAAGCAACAGCAAACACGTGAGGGAGCGTCTCAGCGGAGAGAAAAATCATCTCAGTCGATAGTCACCAGTCTGGGCTCCCGAGCAGTGATCTCAGCACGCTTTTATCACCTGTCAAAGCTGCAATCGAGCCGGCCAAGCGTGCTACCCGGGCTGCGAAGGAGTCGGGAAAAGGCGACCGTCCTAAAGCCATTAGTGACTCTGCCGTTCAGGACTTTCCAGAAGTCTAGAGTACACGTGACCCAAGGTCGAAAGAGTCATTTCACTCCTGCCCGCGTGTAAGAAGCCACCCCAGGCCTGCTCACTCTGGGTCTCCCTCGTCCTCCCCAGCCTCCCCAGCCTCCCCCTCCTCCCCCAAACTATGGCTCTGGGCAGCGTTTCCAGTATGGGAAAGGGGCTAGAAATAGGAAACGTTCCCGAGCGTGACGTGGGGACTGCTCTGCGGAGCACCCGGAAAGCAGCTGGTCTTATGGGTGCACAGGGACCTGGTGAGGTTTCCACGGCGAGCCAGCAAGGCGAGAACTACGGAAAAGACGACGGGGAGCCCAGGGCTGCCGGAGGACTGTCCATTCAGAGGGCCACTCGGGGGTCCCAACAGTGTGGACTGCTACACTGTGGCTGCCCGGAGTCCCCGGCTCCTTCTCTCAACAAGGCAGTTACAACGTCCTCTTCGGCTTGGGGAGGAGAGCGCAGACGGTTAGCTTGGACTGGAGAGCCTCGCCCACAGGGAGGACTCCTCCTTATTATTCGAATAGGAACACAGTAGCATCCCAAGCTTCTTCAAACCGTCAGGTCTACACCACCCATTTCCAGTTCTAGGCTGCGTAGTTTCAGTCAGAAAATTCCTACGGAGGGGTTGGGAGAACGCTTCGCAGACCCCTGTTTCCGGTCACGGCGAGACCGTATGATTCCCCTTAGAGCGACTCTTGAGGGAGCTCCGCTCGCGGAAGCCAACTGCTGTCAGAACCCAGGCCTCGGATTTTAAACAAACAACCGCTCCCAGGAACAGTGAGCTATTACTGTCGTCGGTGGTACTGTTATTTCAGCTACCATGCTATTTGAAGACATTGAGTCTTTAAAAAAAAAAAAAAAAGTGAAGACTGTCTCAGGACCTAGTGCACAAATGTCTTAGCCCGGGTTGCTCAGCCCCACCTACTGCGACGGCAGACGACTCTGACTCCGCCATCAGACAGGACGAGGCAGGGCCTGCAGCCTGATGGCAGCAGCACTTCCTCATCCTGTGGCCGCACAGGAACTGGCCAAGCTGGGGGTGCTCGAACCTGATCCACTTTCCTTCAGAATTTTAAAAAATGAAATGAGAGGTCTCTCGAGATCCCTGACCCGGAAGAGGTACGTAATGGGGATGTATGGAGTGTGGAGTCGGGATTTCAATCTCAGCCTTGACGGATGGGATTGATGATTCCTAGGCATTTCCACACCCAAAGCTGCTGAGTAACAGGAGAAATCGGGTAAGGGAAGAGGAGGCGAGAGAGAGACGGGAGTGAACGCACGTCTGATCGGGGCGCTCCTACCTCTCCACACCTGTCCCTTCTCCCCGTGAGGCGTCTGGAGTTCTCATAAATGTCAGGAGACGTGCAGCACAGAGTGCGCCGGCCAGGAGGAGGGTGAGGACGGCAGTGAGAAGTTCTCACGACAAGTTTCCAAGGGTTGACTAGTGAGAGCCCAGGACGGGAGGATCCAGGTCGTAACCAAGTCAGCAACCCTGGGGCCAGCTCTGAGACTAGCATTTAGTGTGCAGTACTGTTCGTTGGGCCGAACAGTACCTGGTGGAAAATTCTCAAAGTTGTTTAAAGATGCGCCACTGTTTTATTAAAGGAGCTAAAGAAATATCCACAGGAACTAGATCGAAAATTTTCCAATCCGTTCAGTATTGGTCACACTAAAACAAAAATGAAAAAAACAGCAAACGGGCAAAAGGAGGCTCAAACCAGAACAAATTCGACAGAACAATGATTTTCAAAGTTCAAAATAAAAGCCGTGGAACCCTTTCTTCAAACTGATTTTTCCCAGAATCCTTTTCTAATTTTTTTTAAAAAATTTTATTTCTTTGAGAGAGAGCAAGAGAGAGCGCGCACGCATGCATGGGCACAAGCAGAGGGGAGCGTCAGAGGGACAGGGAGAGAAGCAGGCTTCCCACTGGGCAGGGAGTCCTATGCGGGGCTCCATCCCACACCCTGGGATCATGACCTGAGCCTAAGGCAGATGCTTAACCGACTGAGCCACCCAGGCATCCCAAAGTATAGCAAATTTTAGTCGACTTAGTGGTGTTGGGGTCGAGGGACAACCTCAACCCCCACGACAGCCCTGAAGGTCTGCGAGGGTTCCAGAGAACAGTCTGAAAACTGCTCTTAGGGACTAACTGGAAAGGAAGCGCCTCTTCCAAGTCTCTGAAGACTGAGCTCACACCTACAGCTCCGGGAAACCCACCTGAGAGAGGGCCATGAGCCCCTGGAGCAGGAGGAAGAAACCAAAAACACTGCAGCAAGTGGGACAGAAGCCAACAGGCTCTCCTAACACAGGCTCCAGCCCCTGAGGTCCCTCAGAATGCTGCAGGGTCCTCCAGTGCAGGGTTCGGGCCTCGCAAAGGGCAAGAAGATTGGAGGTGGGAGGTTTAAGAGGTGAAATGAAAGGCAGAAAGGGGACTAAATCAAGTCAAGCTATTTGCTCCTTCCTCCAAGCTCCCAAACCCTCTCTTCCCTGGACGAGAGTGCCCAGAGTGCGCCAAGGCCGGGAGTCCTTGTTGCTCGGGGTGCGGCCGCAGCACCAGTAGCAGCACCTGGGCGCTCGGGAGACATGCAGGTTCTCAGCCCTCCGGCAGGCCCCCGAATGAACAGTTCGGCCAGCCCGCCCGGGGAATCTGATGTCCGCCCACCTTGGGGAACCCCTGCCTGAAGCTGTCTTCTTGGCTCTCTTATAGGATCATTATCCTGCATTTTGTTGGCCAAGAGCTCACAGCACTGTTTGTTAGATCAGTGGATGACACACTCCCGCAGAGAATTTGCATGATTCTGGACTTGCTTTGTGAGAGAAACGGGAGGGTCAGGGCAACACAGGCACAACGGGCACCGCGGGACCAGGACAGGATCACGCCTGCGGGAAAGCCGCCCTCACGGACGCCTCCACTTCACTAGGAGGCTGAGGACTCTGAAAACCCACAGCCTCTCCTGTGACAGAAGAGGGCAATAAACTGAAGGAGCTTTTGCCTTTGCGTTCTCTTCCTGGTCACCAGTACGGTGTTGAGAAAGGTCCAACAGCAGAAGAGACAGGCAGGCCTTCCACAGCACAAGCCCCTCACACGGACGACCCCGCTGAAGGAGCCGACGGCGGCATGGCTCAGGGGGGCTGCACCTTCCTCAGTCTGCCTGTCCTGCTAAGACCTTAATAGGGTGGGAGGGCTGAAGAAAGGGAAAGTTTGCTGCTGTGGACCCAGTGGGATGACTAGAGCTGGGGGAGGGGGTGAGACCCCCCCTGACAAGAGAGGCTCCCGGCCCTCCTGCATGAGCCAGGCCTTGGCGAGCAGAGGGCTCAGGAGGCCAGAGCTTTTTGTCTAGGCCTAATCGGACCCTCTCCTGAGAAGGTGGGTCGGGCCTTTCCCACTGCCCCAGAACCCCCCTACATCCTTTCTCCTTTAGCACCTCTGAGGATAAAGTTTAAGATTTTTTTTTAAATATTTTTTATTTGTTTATTTTGAGAGACAGATTGAGAGAGTGCATGAGAGGGGAGGTCAGAGGGAGAAGCAGACTCCCCATGGAGCTGGGAGCCCCATGTGGGACTCCATCCTCACGATCTGAGCCGAAGGCAGTTGCTTAACCAACTGAGCCACCCAGGCGCCCTTTTTTAAGATTTTATTTATTTATTTGACAGACAGCGATCACAAGTAGGCAGAGGCAGGTAGAGAGAGAGGAGGAAGCAGGCTCCCTGCTGAGCAGAGAGCTCCATGCGGGGCTCAATCCCAGGACCCTGGGATCATGATCTGAGCCGAAGGCAGAGGCTTTAACCCACTGAGGGACCCAGGCGCCCTGAGGATAAAGTTTTTGAGCACTCCCACTATACATCTGAATAGGCCCTTTTCTCAGCACAAAATATGCAACCAGAAGAACTCAAATCAAATTCTGAAAACAAGGACTATAAACTCCCCCAACTCCACCTTTCAATCCCTTTGGAAAGAAAAAACTGCAGTGCCTGAGGTCAGTTTAAAGCAAAAAAG